TCGTTCCTGTATTATGGAGAATATGCAGGAGTCTGAGATTAGCGAATACGTGCCCTGTGCCCATTCCGACGACGAAAGAGCCTTGGTCGGCACCTACGTGTCCCTCGAACTCAAGAAAGCCGCTTCTCTGGGATATAAAGTCATTCAAGTCTTCGAAGTGTGGCATTGGGCCGAAGAAAAATGGAGTCAGTACGACACTCAGACCAAAACGGGAGGGTTGTTCACGGGATACATTGACCACTACTTAAAAACTAAAATGGAAAGTAGTGGTTACCCTTCGGAATGCCGCACTGACCAAGAAAAAGCCCAATTTATTGCAGACGTCTACCAAAAAGAAGGGATTAGTCTCGATCCTGCTAAAGTGATCTACAACAACGGAATGCGAAGTTGCAGTAAGCTAAAGCTCAACATTTTATGGGGTAAATTTGGTCAACGGGACAATTTCAGCCAAACGGAATACATTACCGAACCAGAGAGATATTTTGATCTTCTGACGGATGTCACGCAATCCATTAAAGACGTACAATTGGTCAACGACAACATGGTGATGGTGGAACGATTGAAATTGGAAGAACACGTACAGCCTTCTCAAATCACCAATGTCGTCATTGCCGCTTTCGTCACGGCGCAGGCTCGCCTCAAGCTTTATTCCGTCTTGGAACCTTTGGCAGAGCGTGGAATCCGCGGCGAGGCAACAGCTTAGGGGAATGGAAAGACGAGTTGGAGGAGAATGTGACCATCACCGAATTCGTCAGCGGTGGAGCCAAAAACTATGCGTATAAATTGTCCAATGGTCAAACCATGTGCAAGGTGCGAGGGTTTACGTTGAATTACCGAGGTTCCAAAGACTTAAATTTCGACTCGGTGAAAGGTATGGTTGGTAACGTTCAACAAAATATTCCTTTGGTCGTCACCAATCCTTTCAAGATTACCAGGACACGTGACCGTCGCCTTTGCACGCGGTCGGAAGACAAACAGTATAAAGTGATTTATACGAAGAGATTCATTCACTTCAACGACAAAAATGAACCAACCAATACCTACCCTTATGGCTTTTGAAGAAAAAGTGAGAGAAAGGTGGTTGAGGCACAGAGTGGACTAGGATTATCTGCCCCATATAGAAGACCAACAGAAAGAGCAATGCATTGGCTGCCTCTACGACTAAGTTGACGTATTGGCTACGTTATATTCAACAATATACTGAAGATAAGATACAGCCTATCCAACACGTTGTCGCATATGATGCAGATGGATATGGTGTCAATTATTCCGATGAAACGGTTGTTTGCAAAGCTGCAGGTAAACCGTATATTCTCATGGTACCTAACAAAAAGTATTCTGTATACTTGAAACCTGTCTTCACTGATACTGCATACGACACAGCCAACGCTGGTCAAT